TAAACAATTGTGCAACAGCAGTTGAAATAGTGTGAAATACCTCCACCCAGCAGATTCTCTCCTTCGCTCCATGACGTGTGACGTAGCTTGCGTCGCAATAGATTTAAAGGGAAAGGATCGCCTCAGGTATTGGTTGCATTTTCCAATACTTGATCCATCTATTTTGATGATATTGGGGCCGATATTGGATCCAGATATCGGATCGGTGCATCCCTAATAAGTATGAGGAATTGTCCTGGAAATGTATTTCAGATTTGGTGGTAAAATGTTCCTTTAGGGGCAGATTATGTAAAAATACCTAAACTCCACCTTTAAGTGTGTTTTCTAAGCTCCTGAGTGATAGGTACCTGGAGAGTTGTTGGTTTTATGGTCCTATGTACGGTATATTTTTCTGGTTTGGCCATGTCACAGTATATTTACCTCCTCAGTCAGATCAATGATATGCTGCCCTTCAGCTGTCAACCCCACTGTTTGCCCAGCAGCCAAGTTCCCCCCTGGATACACAGCGTACACTGTTAGATATCATCAACCTGTGATATTGAATGCATTCCAGGAGTTATTTCATGTTGAAGTGATGCAATCCATTTTTGTGGCTGACTCAACCTCCCTGAGCCTGCCTTGTCTCCTTCGACTGCAGTTAGTAGTTTGTAGTAGAATCCCTCAAGAGATGCTGACAGAACTTACAGCGTTCATAGGTTCGCATGTAGGTTTAATGTGTAGGTGGAGACAGCATAGCAAGAGCCAGAGAGCATGTTTGTCCAGGCAAGAAACATTTTATTCACATGCATATCTGCATTAAGAACCATGTAAGACAGGGTCAAAACAGCATGTCTGTTTTCACTAAATCTGCTTCTCTGTTTGGACGTCATCTCCCTGAACAGTCCATTTCCTGTTGAGCTGTGTATTATAATGCTTACAGGAGTTAAAGTTTCAGAACTTTAATTACCTGTGTTCAATTGCAACTCATTTGCTCTACCAGCTTTCTTCCAATTCATTAATTAGTCTGAAATCCAATTCCAGGGAGTGCTACAGAGCTCTTTAAACTGTTAGATTTGGCCTGAGCTGTGCTGACATCAGACCAGTAGCTGCATCATCGTGTACACCCAGGGTCCAACATGATTTGTTAACTACCTTTTAGCAGTCTGCAGCAGAGCCCCTGTGGTGAAACAACACATTTTTTTATTTTCCCGCTTTCCTCTCAGAATCTGCACCATTCTGGTCACACTACGTCGATGTCTTTTTTCTTTTGAGTGCCTCTGAAAAGGTAGTTAAAAGAAGCATTTCATCTCATTTTCCTCCTCTGTCGCCGAGGTTCGACTGCGGTTCACGGAGGAGGGAGTGAGAGTGAGAGGGAGTGCATTTACAGTACTCCATTATGCATTTCCATATCTTCTCCTTCGCCAAATGAGTTCTTTGTCTGCTCAGAGACCAGCGCTAATGAGAGAGTTGCATTGCAGCATTTTAGAAGCCATTGCTCCCCCATTCATCAGGAAAGATTTGTGCTTGGCCGCCTGTTTTTTTTTCTACTCAGCCACCCCTTACTCTCTGCTCTCTCTCTACTCTCTGATTGATGATAACAAGGTTGTTGGCAAAAACCAGCTCTTATTGACCAAACAAAATGGCTCCCAGAATTCTGTGTGTGTGTGTATGCATCCACAGACCTGCTTATCTCTGTGTGTTGTTCCTTGGCTCTGTGTTCCGTCACTAACTATGAATCTGAGCATCTGTGCATGCTCGTATTAGTGCGTTTGTGCCCTCATTTGCAGGATTGTTGTGTGCATGTATGTATCATAACATGAGTGTCTCTATGTGTGTGTGTGTGTGTGTGTGTGTGTGTGTGCATGCATCCCCACATTCAGAATGAGATGAAAGGCCGCTGCTCCTGTGAGTCACATGCTGCTGCCTGCTTTCTAAATGGCCCTGAATAGACCGTCACTCAATGCAATGAAGATGATCGTCTCGGCTTACAATGCACTTACACACACATACGTAAAAATTACACATGGTACTTCTACAAATATAGAACGAGAAGATGAAAGGCACCAAAGGATATGCACGGAGAGACATTTACATGCGCATAGATATAACAGTACGCATAACTCTTGGAAAGAAAATAGCAAAAGAGAAAGAAAGCTGCATACTTGTTAACCTGTCATGAATAAAAGCTGTAGGAAAAAGACATAAAATTGAATTTATGTAAATAAAAGTGTCTTTGCTGAAGATAATAGTGATTGGGCACAGATATTTTTTCCTTTTTTTTTTAGTTAAAAAACACAGCAGCAGCTTTTGTATGAGAAATTTAAAACGCCAAGTTGTTTGTTTTCCAACACATTCGCTTCATTTGCATGCAATTTATTCCATCTGATATATTCAGGTGCTCCACTACAAGACAAACAACTGTGATGTCTCTTGTCTGTGTTTTCCTTGATTGTCCACAAGTCCAAAAGGTCTATGATTACTGCAGAGAACACCTTTGAAATGACTGCCTTTTCCCTCTTTTCTCTGTTTCTTCTCTGTATTTTCTCACTGCCTTTCATGTTGTTTCACACCCTGCATTCTCACATCAGGCAATATGACTGATGTGTTGCTCCATTCTGGCCAATTGTGACTGTGTGTTATTGTTGTAGTGCGATAAAGTGTTGCCTTGATGGACTCCATCTGAGGCCTAGTTCTAGTTCTAGTTCTGTCTGTTTTTAGTCATTGTGCGGTTTTATTGCGACGTATCTTGCGGTTATTCTCCAACTACATAGTTACAATGTTAAGAAAGCATAAGAGAGAAATTAACAACAGCTGCAACCAAGTTCACATGTTTCCCTGACGTTAGCGTGTAGCTACACTTGCAGTAACATGCCTGGAGCAGATGACCATATTAAGAAATCTGTCACAAGATGATGTCAGCTTGTCTTGAAAGTACAAAAAAAATTGTTGGAAACAGAGTATTCAGAATGGTCTGAAGCCCTAGGTTTTGCTCAAATGGTCAGTATTTTAAATGACAATACTATGTAATACTATGGTCATGCCAACAAAGCCTCTTTGAATTTAAACTTTGGCCATGTTTACTATGAATATCTTACATTGTAACATTATATATATAACAGAAAATAAGGAAAAGCACAATAGATTAAGGCTGCTGTTTGTCTGCTTTTTCTTATTTTCAACAAATTCCATGAAAAGACCAAAACAACAACATTTAAGTCCATGTCTCAACATTTTTCATTCCCTACTTTGTCCGTGGCACTCAGCCCAAAGCCCATTTGTTCCTGCTGAGGATTTAAATCTTAACAACTGGTTACAAATACATTTTTGAAAAAGCCTTAACAATTTTATAAAACAGCTTGGCACTGTAGTTTTCAGCAAACATTACTCAAATAGGAGTAAATAGCGTGTTTGTTTGGGACTATTCTCAGCTGTGGATTGATACACATTCGGTGCCCTAGGGCCTATTCACTACAGTAGGACAGTGTGTATGTAATAAACTCAACATAACTACAGTGTGGATATGGTAATGAAAGAACGGGTCACCCAGTGCAACAATCCAGTGCTCACTGATTTTTGGACAAAGGTGGCGCACAGAGGAATGAGATATATCAGGCTGGATACAAAGACGATACCTGTTAGTAGGATCAGTTTATTGTTGTCAGTTCTTGGGGTTTGCTTACAGCAAGACAAATATAGAATATAATCAGCCTCATCCTGTAGACCTATGTCTGTGGTGTGTTGTCATAGTGAATGATAACAGAAACTTGTCAGTCAGTAAGAAATAACTGTTTTTGTATCACATGGCAAATTGCTGATATTTATGTAATAACTGGGAAATTTGAATTGCTGAGATCAACTCCATGACACAAAACCTCAACCAAAATTATGCTTGGGTAGTGTGGAAATCTGATGATGGCTTATAGGGAATCAAGTAATGATTTATTGATTATTCTTTTATTAATTTAACCCATAATAGGCCAAAATGAATACCAAATGCACACCACAATTGACCATAGCCCAGTGATTTATTCATATTTTCACTTTGTCTGACCATTAGTCATAGTCACTTTCCCTAAGGTAATCTTCACATTAGAGAAGCTGCAACCAGCAAATGCGCAGGATTTCTACTTAACAAAATTATTATCCAAATATTCTTGGAATAGTTTTGTGTTTTTTTTTGATATGGAAAAAAATCATCATAAATGTCATGCATCTCTGCCTCTTCTTGCCTTTATTTGACTTCTCCATTTCATGTTATTTCAACTCATCTCTCTGTGTGGGCGCCAAAGTGGAGAAAACGTCAGTGTACCAGCCTCATGTTTCTCTCCATCTCTGCTCTTCCTTCCCTTTTACATCTCCCCCATCCTTCTTAATTCCCAGCTCCTTCCCTCCCAGCCGAGCGCTCTCGCATCTCTCATCAACCTTTGTTGGTTATTCAGAGTTTTACTTTCATTTAAATTGGGTGAGAGAGTGGGTAGCAATAACACAGGGTAATGCCATTTTACAAGAGAGTGAGTGGAATTTTGATTCTAACCACTGTTTTCTCCTTTCTCTCTATAAATCTCTTTGTCACATATGCACAAATCAGATCTTTTGTGGTTTCCTTTATTGGCATGGATGTTAGATGTTAGATATACAGCAAAATAAGGAAATTTGTTAATTAAATTAATTATTAAAGCAAAAATGTAAAAAAAAAATATATATATATAGAAAAAGCTAATAAACTAATAGTTAACATGTAAAACTAATCATAGTAAACAAAATCGCAGCAAATCTACGAGACGTGAGCAGAATGGATTGAGAAATAACAGAAGAGCACATGCATCTAATTGTTTGTAATCCATCCGTGCAGATTCAGCAGATTCATTAGTTCCAGTGTACATTTAAAGTGTTGCCAAAGGAGGAATGTTCTCAGGAGAGAAAACACACACGCCAATGTAACATACACACTGATGCAACAGCAACATGTAGAAGAGATGTGGTCCATGTGTTAATCTCTCTGTTCCCCATCTCTTTGACAGGGTCCCATAGAGAATGATGTTGTGATTCACGTGTCCCTGATAGCAGAGAGCCAGAGGTAATGTGTGTGTGTTTATATGTGTATATGTGTGTCTCTTAATGTGTTGCAGGCCAAGTCTTTCAGTGCTGTAATTGTGTTGAGCTCATGAAGCTGGAGCTCAGCCTGACCTCTGCCATCATCTGTCACTCTCCTCATTGCACATGTGTGTGTGTGTGTGTGTGTGTGTGTGTGTGTCTGTGTCTAACAAGGTCACACGACTGTCTTAAGCTTGTTAACCTGTAGCTTTAATTACTTTTGCTTGCGAGTCCCCATCAGGCGTCAACTTTTCCACTTCAGTTCATTTATGCTCTCCGATAAACACAGCCGTTCAATAACAGCTATCGCTTCATGATAGATTTACAATAGACCTGATTTACATGAGTTTTATATTTACAAGAACACATGACCAATAGATTTAATAGCTGTCTATTGACAAAGCCATAGCTTCAAGGACTAACAGACTCATAAAGCTGCATATTTACAAAAGATAAATCTGTACAGGTAGATTTAAAGGCCACCAGCTGCTGTAGAATCATAGCTAAGTAGATTTTAAATGGGATAATTAGTTTAAGTAATTCAAGTGTTTCTTTTTATATATTAAGAAACATAAAGTGACAAACAATGAAATAAATATCTTTGTATGTTCATTTGGGACTGGTAGATGTGTAGGGAAGGCTTTATCAGCTCCAGTGCTGAAACTAAGCCAAAAGCTACATGTAAAATGCATAAAAATTATAAACGTGACATTGTAATTTTGTGTCTGTGTGTTTGTGTAGACTTCAGGTGTTTTTGAACACCTATGGCATTCAGACCCAGACGCCCCAGCAGGTGGAACCCATCCAGATCTGGCCTCAGAAGGAGCTGGTCAAGGTAACACAGGCACACATTTGTCACACATTTGTCACCAATTTCACAAGCAGTTAACAAGGCCTTATCCCACTTAGGTTCTGTTGCTACATATGGCTTTCCATTTTTGCATGGCACACATGCAGTTTCAAGTGATGTACAGTTGTTCATAATCTTTTTGAAACAATGGGTGCTTGACTTCAGCTACAAGTAGACGAAAGAAGCCTTTTCATTATACTGTATGACAACCACTGATTTTGCCTCAGTTGTCGCAGAGCTGTACCAAAATGAAAAACTCCTGAAAGGATTTTAAATATGCATTCATTGGCTACAAACATAGCGCTATGTTTATTCAGTACTGTGTTAAGACTAAAGCTAAAGCTGCTTAGTTCTTACTAGTTGATGATCCACATACTGTAGGAGTCTTGGGAATGAATAAGCAGCAGTCTTGTACTGCAGGGTAGAGCTAGTTTGCCCCAGTGCTACAGTACAATATGAGAGAGAATGTAATATAAGACTGACATTTCATCCTAACATAACACAGTTCAGATACTAGGCTGTAAAATGATACTAGACTATAGAGATACAAAATAAGTTACTTTGACGAACAACACGAAAGTTAGAGTTGTGCTTTATGGTGTGGTTCTTCAAACAGTTTCACTTACAGGCAGTGATGTAAGAGAGGGTATATGCAGGTGTATGGGGTATACCCACCCCTTTTCTGGCCATTCACAGTATGCAAACCTATCAGCCAAAAAGCCATGGAATATACAGGAGAGTATACCCACCCCCTCCTGGTAACCTACCTATCTGCCTAGCAGTACACAAACCTCTTCAACTACAACTACACCACTATGTACATGGGAAAAAAAAATGAGGACAAACAGATGAGTTTGGCAAAGACACCTCAGGTAAACTTCCTTAAATCCAATACAGAGCAGGCAGTGCTGCCAATGTTACCCTCAACTCAGATAAGGCAGTTAATAGCATCTGGGACCAGTGTTACACCAGCTGTCATGCTGTGGATGTGTCATTCGTGAACGAAGCTTTTTGTAATGTAAAGTGTAACTCCAGATAATGATGTAGTTAGCTAATGATATGCTAAGTATTGGCCTTGGAAATACCGAAAAGTTAAGCTACTACAGCAGGTAACTGATCCACACCATACACTTGTTGTGTTCTTGGTTATGGAAAGGTTAAATAATACAGTGCAGCACTCTTACTACAGCCCCAAGGACATCACTGTAGCATGTGGAGAAACATCTAGTTACAGTTGCCAAGATAGAATTGGTCAATCACTGTTTGAGGCATTGCCAACGGTCAATTGAAAGGTTGCTGATTGCAGAAATTTTGCAGTGCATAATTAGCTGCAGTGCTTTGTTGCTTGGTTAATGGCTTATCTTTAACCGAACCATCAAAAGAAAATTTGTAGTCATTCCAGTTTTCTGTGAATGATTGGATGGAAATTTGAGGGGAGGAAACTGTGAAAGACTATTGATGCCTCTCCACCACCACCACCACCACAACTACACAAATCAATCTCACAGTCAGCAAGATTACATTTCAGCAGTTAGCTGTCAATATAGCAGCAGAACTTGGCCCAGTCAGTCTATCTGCTTGTCACTCCAAGATTTCCTGCTCTTAAGATTTTCCTCTTGATTGTCCCATCAATCACAGCAAGGCCACCGATTGGTTGAAGTGATTGATCAGTCGAACAGTAATTGTTAATGGTGATTGATCAGCATAATGGTGGAGCCATCACTGTGACACTCAGGCAAACTGGAGACATATGGAGCTGAGCAGCTGCCACATTTGATTTCAGAAGGGTACATTAGACAGGTCTATAAGAGATGAAATTCCAGGAGGGAAATCCCAGAAGCATGTGGCAAGGTGTAAGAGCCATGACAGAAGCAGGTTAATGGATAGGTGGGTTCACCTTTCACACCTATCACCCTTTCTGAGCAAGATGTCAGGAGGGCTTTCAAGCATGGAAACAGCAGGAAAGCAGCAGACCAGATTGTATCAGTGGGCGGGTTCTCAAACCATGTGCTGACCAAGTAGCGCTAGTGTGCACAGTGATATTTTACTTGTCCTTGGCTCAGTTCTTCATGCCCACATTCTTCAAGAAGTCCTCCATCATTCCTGTGCCAAAGAAAACAAGACCAACCTGCCTGAATGACTACCACCCAGTGGCACTGATGTCTGTAGTGATGAAAAGCTTTGAACAGCTGGTTAAGGATTACATCTGCTCCTCACAACGAAGCACACTGGACCCACTACAGTTTGCCTACCTTCCCAACCAATCTACAGACGATGCCATAGCACACATTCTCCACACCACTCTGTCTCATCTGGACAAAAAAGGGAGCTATACGAGATTGCTGTTCATTGACTACAGTTCATCATTTAACACCGTAGTTCCCGACAGGCTCATCACAAAGCTCAGGCAGCTGGGATTAAACACTTCTCTGTGTATATGGATCCTTGACTTCCTGACAGGCAGACAACAGGCAGTGAGAGTGGGTGGTAGAGATGTTCCACTACCATTTTTTCCCTTCTAATAACGATTCTGATAGCTGAACTTGTGTATCAGCCAGTACAGAGTACCAATCCAATGCCATTGTGCTAAAAGAGGCCAAACAAAAACAGTAAAAAAAAAGGAGGAAATTTATAGTAAGTTTGTAGGACAAAGGGTAAACAGAGTACTCTGACGTCATGTACAACATAGACAATCTCATTAAATTTTATCAATAAATTATGAGGTATTGGATCTGTGCATAGACCTGTCCAGTCGCTGATACCTGATCCGAATTTAGACAGTATCTGAGGCAATTCCGTCACTCGTATCAGCATCAGAACAACTCTAGTGAGCAAACAGGTCCTCGGTGGAGAGAGTGAACAGCTTAAATACCTTGGTGTCCACATAAACGTGGGCCTGACTTGAGTGCTGCATACTGACTCAGTGGTAAGAAAGGCAAGGCAGAGACTGTTTAACCTCAGTGACTTAAAGAAATTCTTGGTATCCCCTCAAATACTGAGGAATTTCTACTCCTACACCATCGAGAGCATCCTGACGGGGAACATTACTGCCTGGTATGAAAACAGCACTTAACAATACTGCAAGGCCCTGCAAAGATTGGTTCGTTCAGCTGAATGTAGTATAGGTGGTGCTCTCATGCCCAAAGGATTTTTATATCAGGTGCTGCAAGAATAAGGCCAGGAGAATCATTAAAGATCCTAACCACCTGGATAACTAACTAAATCCCTGTTGAGGATTGAAAGAAGGTATCGGATACACCAGGCCAGCACTGAGAGGCTCAGGAGGAGCTTCTGCTGTCAGGCCAGTAGGATCCTAAGACTTCCTATTCATGCACATACATTTATTACTATTTCTATTTAACCTTTTTAATGCTCAAATTGAGGGAACTGGCATGATCACATTTAATGTGACAAATACATTGATTGATTGAAACTGATTAAAGACAGAGATATTTTGAATGGTTTATTTGAAATCACTCCCATAGTTACCTTAACAACTGTTTCAGTCCTCCATACTTGGAGGTCAAAACAAGCAGTTAAGTTGTTGTTGGTATTGAGGGGTTTCTAAAGAGAATATAAAAGAGATGCATGCTGCAGTTGGATGAAATCCCAGTAACTTTGAAAACTGTGAAGAATTCAGAGAAACAGCTGATTGTATGTTTCTGAGAATACATGATGGATTTTTCAGTTAGTCTAACCATGGTACTTACTCGACCTATGAAAGATATACATAAAAGAAAGATCTATGTTTTGTTCAACAAACATTTCCTACTTTTTTTGTTGTGTTGCTTATCAGTCACTCAAGCTTTACCTTGGCGGCTTTCTTTTGTAAACTCCACTCATCATGGTCATCACAAGAGTTAAGTGTCTACTGCAGTGAAATTACTCCTTCTGTGAGAACTGGAACAAAAGGTACATTTTCATTTGAGCAGTAATACCACTCTTACAAGTCAGACATGACAGTTTTGTGGCAGCCCAGTTGCATCAGTAAACTAAAATTCGCTATCCAAAACCTGTAATTCATAAAAATCCCTGTTGACACGTTCATTATAAGTCAGCGTTCTGAACTAAAGGGATGGGATTCAATAGAATTTCATCAAATCTGAATCCACCAGCAGATCTGCTCGTCAAAATCTAAATCCTTTTAAAATCCCTTATTGAGGTTATTCAGGTTTAACCTGAAGTAGCAAAAGTCATAGGTAACTTGATATATAAGAGCAAAAACTCAAGGACTGGATGGAAGTACTGCCAATTATTATGTCTGGTTACTTATTATCAACAATGGAGGTGCTCAGTGTCAGTAACTTACATCTATTAAACATTTTATGAGTAACAAGTTCAGCACTAGCTGCTATTTCCACCCTGTCCACTCTGCTCCTTTCATCTGCAGCAGATTACACCATTTGTACTGTCATATCTGTGACACCACCCACCACCTCCCTTCCAACTTCTGTTTCACTCCCATCACATCCGTCACTCAAACCCTGGTCTCTCCTCTAGATACTGTCCTTCATCTGCATGTGTGTTGTTTGAAGTCTACTATCTCCCTATCTTCTGTCTATACTCTCTCTGTCATACCTGTCACTCAAACCCTGGTCTCCTCCCAAGTCTCTGTCCCTCATCTGTCATGTCTGCTATGTAGCGTCTATTCTCCACGCCACCTTCTATAAACAAACAATTTCTCCTCTCATGTCATCTATCTGGGCTCTGTTCTTTCCTCTAGGCCTTTCTGCCTCCTGTCCCTTTCCTTCTCTATCCATCACATCCACTTCTTCTAACCCCATTCTCCCCTCTAGGCCCTACATCCTGCCCCGCCCCCATTATGTCCGTTACACCAAAACAACTCTCCCCTCCAGGTCTATCATCTGCCTTTGAACTGTCATACCTGTTACTTTTTCCTTCTCTCCCCTCTGCCTCTTTCTGCTGCGTGGTGCTCAGCCTCTCAGATGGATATGCAATTGTGAGTCAGAGCGGGCGCTGTGCTG